ATGGTATTAATTTGCCCCTACCTTTGACATGATAGCTCCACGAAGTTCGGTAGATGGAACAAATTACTTTATATATATATTTTTAGAAATTATTTTGAAAATACTTGTTTCTTTTAAGGCAAATGCCGTCGTTCTGGATTATGACATGTTACAAAAGGTTCTCCACATGCGAACGTATCCCTTCGAGAACTTTGCCCTGTCGCTGTCGATCTTTCGTGACGTCTCTGACAACGTAACTACTTGCTGTTGCGACGACGTGCTAATTAGAGCTAATATTATAGAGGTTTCCTAAGTTTATGACTAAACCCTTTTAGGCTGCCTACGTATCCAAAGCGGAATCAGGTCTGAATGTAATTCGTAGGATGAAGATGAAATGTGATGAAACGACCGAGCCTGACTCAGGCAGCCTACGTATCCAAAACGGAATCAGGTCGGAACGTAGTTCAAATACAACAGATGCAAAATGATGAGATTAAGAAATGAAAATGGTCGAGTCTCACTCAGACAACCTACGTATCCAAGTGGAGTCAGGCCAGAACGTAGTTCAATTACAAAAGATGACTGAATCCGATAAGGATAGCCTACGTATTCCTTTATGAGGAAATCAAATCGGCATAGTTACTGAACAACATAAAAAATAATATTTGGTTTTTCTATTACAAGAGAAAGGGGGAGAGAAACCGAACCACTACGTGGGTTGCCTACGTATCCCTCCGTGGGAAGTCAGGTTGAACGTAGTTCTGTTACATCAAAAACCCTAACTTTATCTGTCTTTAGGCATAATATCTCTTGATTGCGTCCGAGTTGATAGGATTTGTGCTGACTCTTCGATCCATTTCTGCTAAGATTAGAGCTCTACCAGACAGCGCTTTGTGGACCACGTAAGGACCTTGCCAGTTTGGTATAAACTTCCCTTTAGCTTCTTATTTATGGGGAAAGGTTTTCTTCAAAACCAACTGTCCCGGTGCGAATTGGCGAGGCTTCACTCTTTTGTTAAATGCACTAGCCATCCTATTTTGCTATAGCTGTCCATGACACACGACATCCATTCTTTTCTCGTCAATGAGCATTAGTTGTTCTTGCCTAACCCGTATCCACTCTGCATAGTCCAATTTTGCTTCTTGAATGACTCTTAAGGACTGTATCTCGACTTCTGGGGGTATCACTGCTTCAGTGTCGTATACCAACATGTATGGTGTTTTCCCAATAGATGTTCTCATGGTAGTCTGGTAACCTAATAAAGCGAAAGGTAACTTCTTGCCATTGTTTGTGATTGTCCACTATCTTTTGCAGAATCCTCTTGATATTCTTGTTAGCTGCCTCACTTGCCCCATTCATTTGTGGTCTATAGGCTGTGGAATTGTGGTAGACGATTCTGAACTTCTCGCAAATTTCCCTCATGAGATCGCTATTGAGATTGGCGGCATTGTTAGTGATGATAGATTCTGGTATCCCAAATCTGCAAACGATGTTGCTCCGAACAAAATCTGCCACTACCTTTTTTGTGACGGCCTTGTAAGTAGATGCCTTGACCTATTTGGTGAAATAGTCGATGGCTACCAAAATGAAATGATGTCCATTTGACGCTGCAGGCTCTATGGGTCCTATCACGTCCATGCCCCAGGTAGCGAAAGGCCAGGTTGAACCCATTACATTTAACTCATTTGGTGGAACCCGGATGAAATCTCCGTGAATCTGGCACTAGTGACACTTCTGCACATAGTAGATATTGTCGCTTTCCATAGTCATCCAAAAGTATTCAGCTCTCAAACTCTTCTTGGCTAACGTGAACCCGTTCATGTGGGGTCCGCACACCCCTGTATGTGTTTCTTCCAATAGTCTCGTTGCTTCGGCGACGTCTACACATCTCAGCAAACCTAAGTCTGGGGTCCTCCTATACAAAACTTCCCCGTTGAGGAAAAAGTGGTTTGCCAACCTCCTAAGGGCTCGGTTTTGACCATTAGTAGTATTTTCTGGGTACTCCTGGTTCGCAAGGAACTTCTTGATATCGTGATACCAAGGTTTACCATGTGGTTCTTCATTCACATATAAGCAATAGGCATGTTGATCCTTGATTTCTATCTCGATGGGGTCGATGTAGTTCTTGTCATGATGTTGAATCATAGATGATAAGGTCACAAGGGCATTAGCGAACTCGTTCTGAATTCTGGGGATGTGCTTAAACTTAATATTTGTGAATTTCTTGCACAACTCCTTCACGTAGTGCATGTACATCAATATCTTGACATTCTTAGTTGACCATTCTCTTTGGACTTGGTGTATCAGCAAATCACAATCCCCTATGACCAAAAGTTCTTTGATGTTCATGTTGACTGACATTCCGATTCTAAGGATGCATGCCTCATATTCAGCCATATTATTGGTACAAGGGAATCTTATCTTTGCCGATGCTGGATAGTATTGTCCAGATTCCGAAATCAGGACTTCCCCAATCCTGACTCTTTTGAAGTTTGCTGCTCCATCGAAAAACATTCTCCATCTAGGGTATAATTTTGCAATATCTTCCCCGTCAATAGTACTTCTTCATCGGGGAAATACGTGGTAAGTGGTTCATAATCCCCATCCACTAGATTCTCGGCGAGGTGGTCGGATAAAGATTGTCCTTTGATAGCCTTCTGAGTTATGTATACAATGTCAAATTCGCTGAGGAGAATTTGCCACTTAGCTAGCTTCCCGGTAGGCATTGGCTTCTGAAAAATATACTTTAGCGGGTCGAGCCGAGATATCAGATGTGTAGTGTATGTCGACATGTAATGCCTTAGCTTTTGGGAAATCCAAGTCAGAGCACAACAAGTGCGTTCTATCAAAGTATACTTGGCCTCAAATGGTGTGAATTTCTTGCTTAAGTAGTAAATGGCCTGCTCCTTTCTCCCAGTTTCGTCGTGTTACCCCAAAACACAGCCGAAGGCATTGTCCAAAACTGACAAATAGAGCAACAATGGTTTCCCTGGTTCAGGGGGAACCAGCACTGGCGGGTTTGAAAGATACTCTTTGATTCTGTCAAAGGCTTTCTGGCACTCCTCCGTCCATTTCGTGGCATCATCCTTCTTTAGCAGCTTAAAAATGGGTTCACAGATTACCGTGGACTGGGCTATGAAACGATTGATGTAATTCAATCTTCCTAAGAAACTCATGACATCTTTCTTTCTCTTTGGTGGCGGTAATTCCTGGATGGCTTTGATTTTTGATGGGTCCAGTTCTATTCCTTTCCTGCTTACAATAAAACCCAATAGTTTTCCAGCGGGGACTCCGAATGTGCACTTTGCTGGATTCAGCTTCAAACTGTACCTTCGCAGGCGTTCGAAAAATTTCCTCAAGTCGTCCAAGTGCTCTGAACTTTTTCGAGATTTTATGATGATATCATCCACATATACTTCGATCTCTTTATGAATCATGTCGTGAAAGAGGGTCGTCATGGCCCTCATGTAAGTGGCGCCGGCATTTTTGAGACCAAACGACATAACCTTATAACAGTAGACTCCCCAAGTAGTGGTGAGTGTCGTCTTCTATGCGTCTTCCTCGTGCATTAGGATTTGATAGTATCTCGCAAAATAATCCACAAACGACTGCAGTTCATACTTCACACAATTGTCGATGAGAATGTGGACATTTGGCAAGGGGAAATCATCCTTTGGACTAACTTTGTTAAGATCCCGGTAATCCACCCATATTCTGATCTTTCCGTCCTCTTTGGGCACTGGGATGATGTTTTCCAACCAGCTTGGATAGTTTGTGACCCTTACTACATTTGCTTCTATTTGTTTGGTCACCTCTTCTTTTTCCTCAGACTTAAATCAGGTTTGAACTTCCTGGGCTTCTTCTTGACCGGCGGTCTAGCAGGGTCAGTGGGTAGTCGATACGAGACAACGCCAGTGCTTAATCATGGTATGTCATCATAGGACCATGCGAACTTGTCGACGTACTGTCGGAGGAGTTCAATCATTTTTTCCTTCTGCTCGGCTTCTAGGTGAATGGTGATTCTGGTTTCTTTTGCACCTTCTTCACTTCTGAGATTGACTATTTTAGTTTCTTCGAGATTGGGCTTCTTTTGACTCTCCAGCTGTTCGATCTCCTGTAGGAGATTGACTGCATTATACTCTCATCATATTCCTCGTAATCCATGTCGTTGCACTCAGCAGTTTTGTTACATGTCATAATCATAGAATGCATTTTTTATCGGTTTGATTACTGAAAAGAAAATCTAGGTATAAATAAAGCAGTAAAATAGAGTTGCGATATTTAGAAAAATGATTCTTTTTTATTTCATCAAAAGGGGAACGTCTTAAGTTTCATAAGAGGCAAATGACAAAAAGGTATAGACATGATAAATGCCTCAATTGACCGTGCTCTTTCAAAAGAAAACTTTTATAGTTCCATACTACCAAGACTCCTGGCGAACCAAAGATGGACTGGTTGTCCAATTCTGCAGCTCTTCCCCTGGTTCGACATCCCTAATAGTCGGTGTCTTGATGTCAGTTCCTTCACAACATCCTTCAATCATATTCACGAACAGCTTTCCTATCTCGTCGATGATATCATCTTCGGGTGTTGAACTCTGTCCCAAACTTGCAACATGCTCTGGCACAGAAACCCTTTTTCCGGAGCTAACAATGCGAGTTTTCCCTTTCGGAGGCTGATATCCTATGCCAGCCCTTCCTTTTTACCCATTGTGTTCGATTGGCTTTGTGATTCCATCTGACTTGGCTCCCAACCCTGTTCCTGGCATGTATCCATATTTCATTATCTCCCTCATGGCCATCTTGGATCCATACATCAATTGCATTCCCAAATTTTGTTCAGTCTTCTCCACCTCAGTAGTCTGCATGATTTCCACAATGTGGAAGGCGACTCCGTCTAGACCCTCAATGAATGGGACAACATACTCCAGAGAGTCGGAGTGACCCCACTCGCCGTGGACCATAATCTCTCGGCATCCCCACTCAAATTTTATACATTGATGCAAGGTAGATGGCACATCCCCTGCCATATATATCCAGGTCCTACCCAGCAACAAATTGTAGGAAGATGAGATGTCCATCACTTGGAATAACACTGGAAAGTCGACCAGCCCGATTTGCAAGGCTAGATAAATTTCCCCAATAACATCCTTTTGCGAACCATCAAAGGCTCTTACCCTTACGTGGCTTTCCTTGACCTCCCTTAAATGAATTTCCAACTCTCGTAGGGTGGAGAACGGACAAATTTTGACTCCTGATCCTCCATCGACCAGCACTCAAGATACCACTTTGTCCCCGCATTTGATGGTGATGTGAAGAGCCTTGTTGTGACTTGCGCCTTCGACAAGAAGTTCGTCTCTTCTGAAAGTGATCATGTTTTCTTCTACCATTTTCCCAATTTTCACGGCCAACGCCTCTCTAGTGGTGTTACTTGGTACGCTTACCCCACTTAGTACTTTCAACAAAGCATCCTTATGACTGTCAGAACTCATTAATAGATCGATGATAGATATCTGTGCTAGAGTTTTCTTTAACTGTTCTTCCACAGAGTACTCTTTACTCGACATCCTTTTCCAAAACTCAGCGGCTTCAGGGTCTGTTATGTTCCTCCTTGGAATTTATTCTCTCTCCAAATTTCCTCGATTGACATCGTCAGGGGCGTAGCACCTCCCAGACCTAGTCATACAGTGGGCCGCAGTAGAGTCTATCATTTTGGCCTTTCCCTTTTGTTGATAGGTCCATGGGACGGTTTTGTAATCCCAATCTTCTTCGCCCAGAGTAGCATTGGCAGGTTAATTCGGATAAGTCTAAACTGTCACAGTAGGCCTTAGTTGTACTGTAATGATTGGAGCCTTTTAAGGAGGGATCCTTGCGGCTTCTACATTCCCTATAGTGACAATAGTTCCCTTCAGGTCATATTCTTCTTCTAATGTGATCATGTTAGCTCCCTAGTTTCGATGATTTGGCAATGGGTTGCGATTCACATTAGGTGGTGTTGGAATGCACTAGATGGCTCCGCTATTGATCAGGGTTTCAATTTTATTTTTTAACTTGAAACAGTCTTCAGTGTCGTGCCCCGGTACATTGGAATGATACGTGTATCTCTTAGTGGCATCAAAATATTTGGAGGAATGTTTAGGAACCCTTCCCTCAATTAGGTGTATCAATCTTGCTCTTCTCAACCTTGACACAATTAGGCCAGAGGCGCAGTAATTGGGGTATAAGTTCTGGGACCCCTCTCTTCAAAGTTGGGACGAGGGTGTGGTGCATACATATGTTGGTTTTGGTGAGTAGTGGTTTGGACAGGAGTATATAGTCGTTATGGGTTTTGGTTGTTGTTGGCTCGAGGAGGGTTGTATTGTGGCTGAGGGTGGTAGTAAGGTTGGGTATTATAGACTGGAGCGTAAGTGGGTGGTGGTGAGTGGTTGTTCAGGGAATAAGAGGTGCTTCCATGAGATGGATTAGTTTGATAGTAGGGGACGACTACTGAGACCTCTTCTTTCATTTTCTTTCCGCTACCGATCGATCCTGACTGGATGGCCTTGCTGGTCGCTTGCAGTGCTGCCATAGATTGCACCTTACCAGATTATATGCCCTCTTCTAAGAAATCCCCAATCTTAACCATCTCGAGGAACTTTTGACCCATCATTCCCATCATCTTTTTAAAGTATATTCCCTCTTGGGCTCGGATAAAGTACTCGGTTAGTTCACTATTGTCCAGTAGCGGTTGCGCCCTGACAACATCTGTCCTCCACCGTCGTGCATATTCTTGAAATGACTCAGATGGCTTTTTCTACAGGTTCACCAGCGCGAACCGATCAGGAGTGATCTCTGTATTGAATCGAAAATGTTTCATGAAGTCCTCCACCATATCTTGCCAAGTTCTCCAATTTTGCGGGTCCTGTCAGGTATACCAGGTGAGTGCTTCTCCCGTCAGACTCCTTACAAACAACTTCATCCTTAGTTTCTCATTCCTTCCTACTCTGACCAACTTGTCGCAATAAGCTCTTAAATGTGCGTGAGGGTCCCCTGTCCCATAGAAGACATCAAACTTCGGTGGTTTGTACCCTACTGGCATATCCACATCTGGGTGAATACACAGGTCTTCATAGTCCAGGCTTTCACTTCCTCGGGCAACTTGGAGACTCTTCATTTGCCTTCTCAACATCTACAGCTGCTCAGATACCGACTCTTCTTCCTTATGCCGGGCTTCTCTCTCCATCTCGGCGTATTGATCGATCTCATATGGCACCCTGACCGTGACGGGTGCTGTAAAGGTAGGTTTGATAATGGCATATATAGGGGGAACGTATCGCTCGTGAGTAGCAGCATGTGCCAGAGGTATGTGTTGGTTGGTGGTGAAAGCGACTCCGTCACGAGGAGGGGTAGTTGCATTGG